AGCTGAGCTGGGGGAGCAGATCGACAACCTGCAGCGCGTCAAGCAGAAGCTGGAGAAGGAGAAGAGCGAGCTCAAGATGGAGATTGATGACTTGGCCAGGAGTACAAAGACCATTACTAAGTCCAAGGTGTTTCTTTACAAGTTAAATACTTGAATTGCCAATATTTCTGTCTGGTGGGAATTTAATGCCATACAAACACACCTACACAGGTTTCACTTTCTTACTCTCTTTCAGGCTAATCTGGAAAAAAGGTATCAGACCCTGGAAGACCAGATGAGTGAGATGAAAGCCAAATCTGAAGAGAACCAGAGGAATTTGAATGAGATGGTGATACAAAAAGCCCAGCTCCAGACAGAGTCTGGTAAGGAAGGCACAAAGATGTGCTGAGAGGATATGTTTTTCCTTCAGTAGCAAAGAGGTTCTCTAGTGTGTGCCATGAGTGAGACCTAATTGTTCATTGGTACAGGCCCAGGTAACATTAGTAATAAATCAAAGGAAATGAGTTCATGAGGGACACTTTAAAGTTCATGTGCCAGTTGCAAGCATTATTTGCTTAGGTAAGTGATTCCCAGAATGATGTGACATAGCTCACTTATTTCATGCAGGGGAACTGTGAATTTGGGACAGTCCAAAATTATTTGAGCAGCCTGTTAGAACTGCCCAGAGTGCACATGTTCACTGTGTGTGCAGCATCTGTTTTGTGCTCCCATCATGGAGCTTGTTGCTGCACCAAACATGCTCCTTGGAACTGTGTGAGTGATGAGTGTGAACACTCCTTGGTCTGGTTGACAACAGGGTCAGACATCCAAAATCCCATCAGATGAAAACAGGAGCCCAAGAGTCTTCCTGGCTGGTCCCTCAGTAAGATCCTCTGCTGAGCCAAGAACTGGGAGTGGCCTTCAGGTGCTGTCCCTTCTAGGGAGAGATGGGTGAGTGTGTGTGAGTGAGCCGTGGAGGAACATGTGGATGTGCTGTGTTCAGAGTTGCCTAGCACTAATAGTAACAGCTCGAGACCGCTAACTGTAGAAACTTAATTGAGAAAAGTTGTTCCAATAAATATCAGATGTGATTTCCTTTCCTTCTCAGGGAAAAGGAATGTACAACACTTCTAGATGTCATGTGGGAACACATAGACCATAACCAAATTTGTTCTTTTTTTCTTCTGGGTGATCTTTTGGAAGTGGTCGTGCTTGCAAGATGATTCTGTGATTCTATGACCAGTTTGTTGTAGGGTCATTGAGCATAGTGCTCAAGGGGAATCTTAGAACAAAACTGAAAACTGGAGAAGAAATGTAAAATGGCTCAGGAAAAATCTGAAAAAACCCAATATTTGAGGGCTACAAGAAGTTCCAAGAATTCTAGAGATAATGACATGACCCATAGGCACCTCTCCAAGAAACAGGACGGGTGTCCTTCAGCCCACAGGACAGAGGGTGGTATGGAATATATGTTTTCCAGTTATTGTAAATATTATGAAGTGAAACTTTAGGGCTTATCTTTTGTATCACAGTTTTTGTATCACCAATTATAGGAAGCTGCTAAAGCACTTTTTGTCAGTTCAGCCAGTGTGACAGCATAAAATCCTACTACTTGAAAGCTAGGCTTTGAAAGAAAAAATTAAGTGAATTTTCTAAAGCAAATTTGTCTTTAGGAAAAAAAATTACAGGATGCTTAATCTGGACAGGACTGAGAATTTGTCCTCTGTTGTCACAGGTGAACTACGCCATCGACTCAAGGAGAAAGAGACTGTAACGCTGCAGCTGTTGAGAAGCAAACAGGCACTTACACAGCAAATGGAGGAACTCAAGAGGCAGTTAGAGGAAGAGATTGAGGTAATGTGAGCTACTGAACACATGCAAGGCTTCAAAATGTGTCAGGGTCTCAGTTCACTTAAAAAACACTTTTGGAAGTTTGTTAGTATTGCCCACAGACTAACACAATAAAATTACTCTTGAGAAGGATGTGTACAGTGAGCACTGTGTTAAGTTCTTTGCAGATGACTGACATGCTAGAAGTGATTTAAGTTTTTAAATTTTAAAGCCATAGTCCATGTGATTTCTTTTGCTTCTGTAGCTGCAGGGAAGAAAAGTTACAGCATATGCCAAGGTGGAAGCATCAGTCTTGGTCTTTTCTAGGTGTAGAGCTGAGAAAAGTTGGTGGCAGCTGAAGGTAGCTGCCTGAACACTTATAAAGCCCCAGCCCTTTGCCCTCTGCCCAAGCTACAGTGACCACATTTGAGGTGTGCAGGGTCATGGGGTTGCCTGCCGGTCACAGCCAACACAAATACATAATATTATGGGTCATGTTTAGGCCAAGAACGCCCTGGCCCACGCCCTGCAGTCCGCTCGCCACGACTGTGACTTGCTCCGGGAACAATATGAGGAGGAGCAGGAAGCCAAGGGGGAGCTGCAGCGCGCCCTGTCCAAGGCCAACAGCGAAGTGGCCCAGTGGAGAACCAAATACGAGACGGACGCGATTCAGCGCACGGAGGAGCTCGAGGAGGCCAAGTACGTGGGGAGTGGGATGAGCTGTCCAGATGTTACATATATTGTGCAGGACACAGATCTACTTTTAGTAGCCCAACCTGAATTATTTTAGTGGGATTTGCAATACTCTTAGTTAAAATGACATACATACTGCAATGATTTTTTTCAATCATATGTGTGTTTTATTTATGTTCCTTAAGGAAAAAACTTGCTCAGCATCTCCAGAAAGCAGGAGAACAGGCAGGGACTGTGAATTCCAAGTGTGCCTCCTTGGAGAAGATGAATTTGAAGTTGCAGGGGGAGGTGGAGGATCTGACGCTGGATGTAGAGAGAGCAAACACATCAGCAGCTGCCCTGGACAGGAAACAGCAGAATTTTGATAAGGTGATAAGTGAGCACAGTATCTTTTAAGTGTAGCCCCAGATAAAATAATATTTTCAGTACTAGCAGGAAATAAAACATAATAGCCTCTCCTATTAGGAAAGGCTGAGACAATTGGGATTGTTCGCCCTGGAAGAGAAGGCTTCAGGGTGACCTAACTGGAGCCTTCCAGTACCTGAAGGGAGCTGACAGGAAAGATGGAGAGAGACTATTTACAATGGCCTGGAGTGACAGGACAAGGGGCAATGGCTTCAAACTGACAGAGGGGAGGGTTAGGTGGCTAACTGGGAAAAAAATTCTTCCCTATGAGGGCACTGACAGAGGTTTCCCAGAGAAGTTGTGGCTGCTCCATCCCTGGAAGTGTTGAAGGCCAGCTTGGATGAAGCTCTGAGCAACCTGGTCTAGGGGAAGGTGTCCCTGCCCATGGCAGGGGAGTTGGAACTAGATATCTTTGAGGTCTCTTCCAACCCAAACCATTCTACGATCCTATGATGTCTTTCAGGTCATGGCAGAATGGAAGGGGAAGTATGAGGAAAGCCAGCTGGAGCGGGAAACTCTCTCTAAAGAATCGTGCTCGCTGGACACGGAGCTTTTCAAAGTGAAAAATGCCTACAAGGAAAACTTAGATCAGCTTGAAACAATCAAACGGGAGAACCACACTCTCGAGCGTATGTGTTTGGCTCTGGTTTCCCTTTTGCTACTGGAACAGGCTCCCCAGGGCAGTGGGCACAGCACCAAGGCTGACAGACCTCAAGGAGGGCTTGTCTGATCCTCTGGGGCACATCCTCTCTGACTTTTGGGGATGGGCCTGTGCAAGGCTAAGGGTTGGACTCAATGATCCTTGGGGGTCCCTTCCAACTCAGCACGTTCTGTTATTCTGTGATTAGCTGCTCACACCCTTACCAAAACAAGGCAGACACTCATGTCTGCAGGACGTGCACTGAGTGACAAGACTCTGTCATTACTGTGCTCTCCATCTTAATGGAGAGTGTCAATGTCTCACCAAAAGTTGTCAAGCAGGTTTGTAAAGTGAAAAAGCTAATAAAGCAAATGTCCTGGCTCTGTAGTATCTGCTGCAGAGACATCAAGGTGCCATTTCCAGGTGAAGGTGATGACCTCCAGAGGCTGTAACAACTTGTGAAACTGAGATTTACAGATGTACTGAACGCAATGACAGGACCTGTAGGACACTGATGGCCTATCCAGAGACATAACACATGCAGGGCTCTTCCAGGCTCCCTGTAAGGAGGGCTGTGAAACCACACTAATGCCCCACTTGTCCTGCATGACTTGGCTGTGTCTGTTTTTATCTGTACATATTTTCAGACACATATACGACTGTGTACACATGTATGTATGTGTATACATATTTATACATGCAAAAGAGGTGCTGAACGCTGCCACAGAGCATAGAGTTCAGCTCCTCTGGTTGATGTCATTCTTCTCTCCCAGAGGAAGTAGCTGATCTGACAGAGCAAATTACTGCAAATGGCAAAATGATCAGAGATCTTGAGAAAGCAAAAAAGCAAGTTGAAGTAGAAAAAAATGGGCTGCGATTAGCTCTGGAGGAGGCAGAGGTGAGTTAGTTTAAATATTACTGGAAAAAGTATAGAGCATGCTAAGCAGCTTTTTGTTCCTTTCCTGGCACCGCCTGTGTGCAATATTGATTGCCACAAACTTTTGGATTTTCTGTGAAGTCACTGATCATGTTCTCCAAAATGTTACCTTCATCTTTGTTTTTATCCTTTTTCTTTTAAAGGCAGCTCTTGAGCATGAAGAGGTCAAAATCCTTGCTGTCAACCAAGAACTGACTCAGATTAAGACAGAGATCAACAGAAAGATTGCTGACAAGGATGAGGAGATCAACCAGTTAAAAAAGAACCATGAAAGGACTGTGGAGACAATGCAGGGTGTTCTGGATGCTGAGATCAGGAGCAGAAGTGAATCTTTAAGGCTGAGGAAGAAGATGGAGGGAGACCTGGATGAAATGGAGATCCAGCTCAGCCATGCAAACCACCAGGCTGCAGAGGCACAGAAACACCTGCACAGCATCCAGGGAGCTCTCAAGGTCTTTGTTTACCTTGTGGTTGATTTATTTTTAAGCACAGTATTCGAGAAGTTTGTTAGGACAAAACTGACTCTTCAAATTTAGGACACCCAGATCCATTTGGACGATGCTCTCAGGACCCAGGATGACCTGAAGGAGCAGGTGGCCATGGTGGAGCGCAGAGCAAACCTGCTGCAGGCTGAAGTTGAGGAGCTACGGGCAGCCCTGGAGCAGACGGAGCGGTCGAGGAAAGTGGCTGAGCAGGAACTGATGGATGCCAGTGAACGTGTGCAGCTCCTCCATACCCAGGTAGTTTCCTTTGCTAAGACTGACATATTTTGGGGTCCGGAGGTTCATGGAGTAAGAATGAATAGTAATTCGTGATCTGTGTGTAAGAGACCAAAACCAGACACTCAAAGCCTCTCTCTTTCTTCTTTGTAGAACACCAGCCTTTCTAATACAAAGAAGAAGCTTGAAACTGATATGGCACAAATCCAAAGAGAGATAGAGGATGTTACTAATGAATCAAAAAGTGCTGAAGAAAGAGCAAAGAAGGCAATGACAGATGTGAGGATGTTACTGTGTTTTTCCCTTTGAATTTTCAGGGTTTCCAGAAGCATTGCTGCTAGGGGTTAATGTAAATACTCCTGTCACGTGTTGTACAAGAACCAGTCTGTGGGCATGGTTGAAAAGGCTACCTGTCAGAAGAGGATTCGAACAACAGGGACCATGTCCTGCTGAGAGATGAGTTATTGGGGCTGTTGCCTTCATTTATGGACTAAACCCACATTTGGTTGGTCGTAAACAAATAACTTTCTTCAGTGCTGCAAGAAAATGTAATCCACAAAGAAATCCTGCAGTATTGAAACCACTACAGTGGCTAATGAATTTGAATAGTTGTCTTTGCAAAATCCTATTTAACAACTTTTTAAATGAGAATTGTAAATGTCCATTCAAAATTGGTGCTAAATCCTCCCAGACAAGGCCTGTGAAGCTCAGCCAGGCCATAGGGCTGGTATGTCATGGAACTCAACCTGTTAATCATTTTTGATGCAGAGGAGCAAACCAAAATCTTAACACTTAAATACATTATTTGGAGTTAAAATAGAAAGAAAACTTTTCCACTTGCTCATGAAAATGAAAAAAAAAAACTAGATAAAATCACAGAATCATTAGACTTGGAAAGGATCTCTGGAGATCATCCAGTCCAACTCCCATGCCCAGGCAGGGTTGCCTGGAGCAGGTGACACAGGAATGCATCCATGTGGGTTTGGAATATCTCCAGAGAGGGAGACTCCATACCTTCCCTGGGCAGCTGTTCCAGTGCTCTCCATCCTCCATGGAAAGAAGTTCTTCCTCATTTTGATATGGAACTTCTTATTTTATAATAACTTCTATTCTGTTTGAATAAAAGAGAAATAGAACATTACAATAAATTATACACACATATATATAAAATATCTAGTACCATTATTTTATTCTCACATTTTTCAATATACACTTTTTCATATATTTTGCTGCCAAAGCAACTTCTTGAATTTTACATTTTTTGTAAGTGACATCACTCAATATTTCACCAAAATCTTCATTTTATTGTGTAGGAGTCCAATGTTTGAGAGCAAACTAAATCCTAGTTTGTCTTAAATAGCATAGATTCTTTTAAACTACTTTGTGCCATGTGGCAGTAGCCCTCCAGGCTGTTGTGGCAAATAGCAGGGCACTCACTACAGCACAGCACCCACCACACTCCAGGTGTTGAGCACAAGAGCCTGTTCCCAGGCTCTGCTGTGGCTCTGGCTGTGCCCTGTGTGCAGGAGAAGGAATCAGACACTTTCCTCATTTCTGTTGGCATTTAGAGGAATATTTTGCTTAAATGACTCCAGGTTTGCTCTGCTAATCCCATCTGAGATATCAGTGAGTCCCTGCCCTGTGGACCCCTTTTCTGTGCACTTGGGAAATCCCAAACTGCTGTGTCAGGAGATGCCTCCTGGCTTAGTGGCAAAGGGCTTTCCTTGACCTTCCCTACGGACATCTGGACAGCAATTCCTAACTCCCAGTGCTGTTTCTTGCAAGGAGGATTCACTTGGTAGCCTCTTTTGTCTTCAGAATTAAAGAACCCGATACTCTCCTGCTAAGGTGAAGAGAATTGGTTGCTTCCTCCAAAGTAATTGAATCTCAAAATGGAAAAAGCCACCCCCCAGGTCCTCTGGTTCCTGTTCTTCCCAATCCATGAAGCTGAGTCAGGGGAGGGCTAGGTTGAATCTCAGGAAAAGGTTCTTCCCCCAGAGGGTGGTTGGGCACTGACCAGGCTCCCCAGGGCAGTGGGCACAGCCCCAAGGCTGCCAGAGCTCCAGGAGGGTTTGGACAGCTCTCTCAGGGACATGGTGGGATTGCTGGGGTATCTGGAGGGCCAGCAGTTGGACTGGATGATCCTTGTGCATCCCTTCCAATTTGGAATATTCTGTGATTCTATGATTCTGTGGCACCTTGCTGGCAGTGGAGGTCACAGTGTGACCATACAGTGGGACAGAGCATTTACCCTTTCTGTCATTCCAGCTCTGCGTGTGCAGCAAGACAGTCTTGTCCCATCCTTTTTCCTACTATTCCTGTCATGTTTCTGCCACTATCATGTCACGCAAAAAAAATGAAGCAGGAAATGGAGTGGCAGGAATGGTCATCAGGAAACAGGAGTAAATGCTCCACTGGTACACAGCATGCACTGTTCCTTCACATTCCTCTGGTTTCTTGTGTCATCTTCCTCTCAAGGCGGCTATGATGGCAGAAAAGCTGAAGAAGGAGCAGGACACCAGTGCCCACCTGGAGAGGATGAAGAGGAACCTGGACCAGACGGTGAAGGACCTGCAGCACCGTGTGGATGAGGCCGAGCAGTTGGCCCTGAAGGGAGGCAAGAAGCAAATCCAGAAGCTGGAGATCAGGGTGAGTACCACAGCTGAACATGGGAGTCAGAGACACCTTTCTTCTCCAAGTCCTATGTGAGTCTTGCTTAAGGTAATTGTTGATTAATTCACCAGATCCAAGAATTAGAAGCTGAGCTGGAAGAAGAACATAAACAATCTGCAGAGGCTAGGAAAAACATCTGCAAATATGAGTGGCATGTCAAAGAGCTCACGCTCCAGGTGGGTAAAAATAGAAAGCAATTCTTCTGATGTTTTGTCTCCCAAGGACATGTAATTACATATTCTCTTTACTCAGAATGAAGAACACAGGAAGAACATGATGGTGTTACAAGATCTGGTAGATAAACTGCAGATGAAAATCAAATCCTACAAAAGACAAGCTGAGGAAGCTGTGAGTCACTAAACTGAAGCAAATACTTATTTACCAGTTCATAGTACCGTCAGTTTAAAAACTGGATCTGTGCCTCAGAATGTTGCCAGATGGTTTTTAATTTCTTTTTTGTTTTGCAATTTCAGGATGAACAGGCCAATATTAATCTCTCCAAATTGAGAAAAGCACAACATAAGATAGATGAGGCTGAGGAAAGGGTAGCTATTGCTGAGAGCCAAGTAAACAAGCTCAGAGCCAAAGCCCGAGAAGGCCCTGCTACAAAGGTAAGGCTTCACAGCAGGAGGCAGGTGTATAGTTGTGCTGTTTGCTCAAGCAAGTTGAGCAGCAGGTTTGTGCCTTGCCAGTGGGTACAGCCATCATTCAAAAGGACAGCTCTGGAAGGAAGGGACTTTTGAAGAAAAGCTTAGAGGGTTGGGGTTGTTCTGCCTGGAGAAGACAAAGCTCTGAGGAGACTTTATTCTGGCCTTTCAGTATATAAAAGGGACTTATAAGAAAGACAGTGAAAGACTTTTTAGGAGAGCTTTTAGTGGTAGGGCATGGGATGATGGTTTTAAACTGAAATAGGGTATGTTTAATTAAATAAATTGAACAAAAGGAAGAAATATTTCATCATGAGAGTGGTGAGGCCCTGGCACAGGTTACCCAGAGATGTTGTGGATCCCCATCACTGGAAATGTTCAGGCTCAGGTTGGATGGTGCTCTGAGCAACCTGGTCTTTCACTGGAAAGATGTTCCTGGCCATGTCAGGAGTTTTGGACCAGATGATCCCTTCCAGCTCACAACATTCTGTGAGCTATGATTCTCTGCCTCTGGCATTTCAGGCTCTGGTGCTGAGCATTGCTTTGTGGCTGATTTCATCAGATTAGTTTCAGATTTAAGGAGCTGCTTCATTAAGTGAAAATAATGTAAGTCAACCTAACTCTGAACATTCCTAAAACATCCCTCCTGTGAGCCTTAGGCAGAATTAGCATTCTGACTGAGAAAAGAGCAGCAGCTCTGTGTCTTTAGCTGAACTTCCCTGGCAGTTGTCTATCTCTAACCCAAGACTGGCACAAGATCTGGAGCTACCTTTCCTAGTGTGATCTTTTGACTGCACTAGTTTAGCATAGTTTGTGGCTGGAGGTAAAAAACCCCAGTGCATGTCTTGGAAAAACTACTAGGGCCTAGAGCACATATCCAGGAAATGGAGAACCTCAGCTCCAGACTGCTTTCTGCAGCATTTTCACTCTGGAAGAGATGTTTTCTCCTGAAGGATCTGGCCTGGGACTCAACAGACACTTTTGGTTCTGCCAGCTTTCACTGTCACCTAATGCTCTGCAGCAGGAAAAGGCTTTGACTCCTCAGTGCTTGCCAGGATATCTTGCCAAGAAGCAGAGGACACACTAGGAGGGTTCAGTCTAGGTTCTTCCAGGTGTCTCTAGACATGAGACTACTTTATAAAGGGAATGTTCAATCTCTAATTGAATTGGAAACCTAGACAGTGGCAAGATTTCAGGTATCTCCTATTGGATATGCTTAGGTAAAGACAGATTGAGCAGACTGACTATGGGCCACTCTCTGCAATCTGCTGCAGGTTTAGATCCTCCTTTGAGTTACCTGATACTGTGCAGTATATACTGAGCATAAGTTCGTGGCACAAGTTCTGGTAGGCCTAAAATTAATCATTGTGATGCCTAAATCTTTTAAGCCCTTCCATGCTATAGACTCACTTTTGGAAATGCTGGTGTACTCCTTATCCCAGAGGGTGGAGGTTGTTTAAGCAATGCAGCATGAAAGTAGCGCTTCAGGAAAGCCAACAGATGTGTTTGTGCATTTGAACCCATCAGTCCAACAGCATGACGTGTGGTGATGTGTTATAGACACCACTGCCTTGGTCTGGTTTCCACTTGCACATCCTACCTGGATGGTGCATTGGGATGGATGATTTCAGGGATCAAAAGACTCATCTGGACATGTGTAGACTGAACAAAACCTCTCCTTTCCAGGTGGTGTTAGGAACTGAAAAATGAACTTCCTCTGGGATAACCAGAACTTCCACAAAGTATCTTTCCAGCTGTGGATTTGCAGTAGCTAGAGCTACACTCATAGGAAGTAATCTTCTATTTGTTTGTGAACACAAACATTTTCTGCCACTGCTGCTGTACCAGTGTCAATAAAATAGATACCTGCAACTTCAGATGCTCCAAATGTGGATGTTCAAATGAGAGTCATTTTGTTGCTAAGCTTAGCATAGTCAAAACTGTGTGTTCGAGTCTTACTGCTACCATGATCAGTTTGACCAATTTTATCCTGAATTTAAAACCTAGATGTTTGACAGGTTTCCTCCTCACCTTCTGTTTGAAAGCAGGTATCCTGACCTTGTTAAATGAAGCTGAAAATAAAGTACTGTACAAACAGATGTGGTATATCAAACATGCAATGTGAACAAAATTACAGTGCTCGTGCTTAGTTACACTGCTGTACTTCTGCATGGGAGAATGAGACTGGTGCAGCCTGTGAGCCCACAGCCATCTGTGTGCATTGCAAACTGAGTGCTTAGAATCTCCGTATAGTCAAACCACCTGTCAGAAAGTTGGCCCAATTCTGACCTACCAAGTGTTGCAGCTCCAAGCAGAGCAGGACTTGAACTTACGTGTCTTTTGTGCTTGTTCCCATGGAAATGGTTATCAAATGCTCTGCAGTGCCAGCAGCAAAGTCTGAGTAGCTGCCTGAAGCTCATCTCCCCAGTGGCACTGGGCACCATACTTCTGCTTGGTGTTTCCCAAGGACAAAGATGCATTCAGCTACTTTGTGGTGAATGTATGGTATAGTTGAAACTGCAGGATTTCAGGTAGGGAGAAAACCCAGCAGACTGCTGAGAAGACATCCCTGGAAGGGATGTCCTCTATCTCGAGGACAGAGCCAGGCAGTGCTCAGGAAGGAGTCTGGCCTGCTTCTGCTGACAAGTAACGAGGATGGGAGAGGAGAAACCCAAGATGTTCTGTCACTCCTGTCTGAAAAAGAGTGATGGATGTCACATCTTTCTCAGTTTTCAACTGCAAAAAGGTTAATAAAGGTTAATAAAATCAGCAGACACCTGTCCCTCCCATGACACCTTTGAAGGTTTCACCATGGCTCCCTGTCAGACACATTTTTTTTCTTTCCTCTTCACCCAGTGCACTCATGCTCATTGGCAAAGAGCCAGGATGGCCCTATTGCCAGGCTGAGCAGCATTTGGGGTTACTGATTTCCCCTCTTACCTTGTTCTCCAGAGATCTGTGAACTAATGCCCTAGTTACAATTGATTTTTTTACATTTTCTTGAGAGCATTTGATAATGATTATTATGCAGTGGCCCAACTTTTCCTATTACTTTCCAGAAAATAACCTAATGAAATACTGACTTGATAAGATGCAAGATCTTCGGTTTTTCTGAGAAATCTGGAACTTTAATAAACCTTATCAGTCAGCCTAGCCATAGTTTCCCCAAAAACTGTCCCCACACCATGATCCTTTCAAGACAGGCCTCCATCCACTATGATGGGCTTGTGATTTTGGGGAATCAGAATTGAATGTTAGTTTTCACACCCATTGGGATATATCTAGGTGTGTTGCTCTTTTTCTTTCCTGTGGGATGACTTCTGTTTCAGTTGCCTGGAAGCAGCTCTTTCCCAGGGGAATTCCTGCACCTTGTTCTCAGCAGCTCATGGCACAGTGCTGTGCTTCAAGATGGAATCCCAAGTCCTGCTTTGCTCTTAGGCCATGTCACTGATCCTACTCCACCACGTCAAATGCCTGGTTACCCAGTGCAATAATCTACTTCATAAACCTGTAGAAAAAGAGTTATAATTTGTTTAGGAGCAGCCATGCAAAACCAATGGGAAATTACTAACTGCTAGGTAAGTCTAGCAACCCTAATGAGACTGGCATTACTCATTTCAGAGTGTCCAGGCATCAGCATGGCATTATCATGTAATCCCAACCCTCTTTCCTGATTTTGGTACTAAGTTTGCTCTTGCCCCAGCTATACCATCCCTGCTCCCCTGAGACCTCCCCCACCTGCTCAAGCAGAGTGGGCAGAGCACAGCAGCCTCAGCAATCCCTGCAAGGCTCTGCAGGGATGTGACTTCAGCAGGATAATTCCTACCCTCACTACACCAGCTCCTTTCTGCTGGCAGTGCAGCTCTCCCCCATTTCATGAAGGGGTTAAAGTGTGGGCTCTGGGTCATGTTGGGGTTGGCTGGATGGCAGTGTCAGAGCCTGGCTCTCCCACCTGCAGCTTAAGCCCCCAGGCTGACTATAAACAGAGACCATGGTGCCTGCGTTGGCATAACATGCCATGTGTGTGGGTCTGGCTGGTTTGGAGTTGAGGATCCTGAGAGCAGGACTGCAGATCTGGGCTCAGGGCCTGCTGGCAGCAGTGCAGCTCTGTGGGAAGCCTGTGGTGCGTTTTGAACTGTACCGATGGTGCGTGATAAGAAAATTGGAAGAAATGCCTGGCCACGGGCACAAACCTTCACAGCTCGAATTACTGTGAGGGAGTTTAGCCAGTGCTGATGGTTCAGAGCAGCACAAGCGTGAACATTCCACTGCTGGAGACCCTCAGAGAAGCACACAACCCATCTCAGAGCCTGCCACAGCAGGGACCAGGTGCTAAGGCCCTGGCTGAGTCTCCACCTGGCAAGGTGCTCTGCAGGAACCTGAACCACATCACATGGCACCAAATGGGGTGAGGGGAAGCCTTTATAACCAGCCTGACCTTTCAGTGAGCAGCCAAGGGGGGACTGTGCACAGCGCCCACAGCCTGTGTTGTACTGTGTTCTGAGAGACACAGGGGGTGCCCAGTGAGCACAGAGGTGCTGGCAAAGCCAGACTGGGGGGTTTGTAGCAGGAGGCAGTTTAACTTTTTAGGCTGCTGGAAAAAATAACTTGCCCATGGATAAGGAATTGTGTCTCTTGTCTGCCAACTGAACCAATGGAGTCTTCATGTGCAGGAGTGCTGGATGTGCTTGGAAATGGCTTAGAAGGCTGGGACCGTACCAAGTATCCTTTTTCCAGGAGCTACCATAAGATCAATCCCCAGGGCTGTGGGATTGCATTTAGTGGTGGAACTTTATAAGCTGCCCAACACACAGTCAATCCCCTGACCACTTGTTCCTGCCTGCTAACACTGCTGCTGTGTCTCCAGCTGAATGTGGGGCAAAATGGAGACTGATTTGGCTTGCTGATCCAGATGGAAAACTCTTCAGGGAGAATGGGGATTATTCCCCAAACAGCTTAATGTGCAACTTTTCACAAAACAATGAAAATGAAACAAATAAATGAGACATAAAAAAGTGGAATGAAAGAAATTCATACTAGAAAAAGAAAGAGGATGTTAAAAGGATGGGATAAGTTGAGGAGGGAATTTTGATGGCTGGGAAGAAGAAAAGGGGCCTCTCAAACATTCCTGATGCTGAAGAACCACCCAGAGATGGAGAGCTTCAGGTGGAACTAATTAAATATCCTCCTGGCTGCAAAAGATTTGTGTTTCCTCTCTGGTATCTCTCTAACTCTCGTGGATGTGGATGAAAATAAAGCAGGGAGCTGTGTGCCCTAAGCTCAGAGGCAGGTGCACACCCTCCGACAGGGCCTGCCGTAAGCACGATGTGCTGGTGGCACTGAGGGCTGGGCACAGGTGGCCCTGCACGCCCTTCAAACTCACAGCTCCCTCCACACCCACCTCCTGGGCTCCCAGGTCCCACCAAATCACCCCTCATCCTTCAAAAGAGACATTCCTAGTGGAGGAGACAAGGCTGCAGAGGGCTTTGGAGGTTGCCCATGCCAGGAGTATCAGCCCATCATGTGTCTCCTTTCATCCTCAATGTCAAAGGCCCAAAATAGCCCTGCTCTCCTAAGACTCCTGTTCAGGGTCGTGCCTGTCTGTGGGCATGATTCACTTCCACTAATAGTGCCTGAGACATTCCTGGGAGGGTAGGCTGCCTTCTGTGTCTCAGTGCCATGTGCTGCCGTGGAGGAGCTGGACAACTGTGCTGTGTCCCAAGACAGCAGATGCTATTCTTACCCCAGGGAGACTTGCTCCAGCATAGCTCCATTCCCAGCTGAAAGGTTAAATGTCAGACTGCGGCCCGAGCGTGCTCTCCCTGCTCAGTCTGAATCCAGAGTGGCCCCTTTGGAGCCCATGCAACGGTGCTGTGCCAACCCAGCACCTGGGTGCTCTCCCCTATCTCCTGGGACGTGCTGTCCCACAGGGAACACAGCAGCTGCCCAGGTACTTCCAGCAGTCAGCTGGGCTCAGTTGTGGTGCATGGGGGCATCCACTCTCTTGTAAACTAACAAATTAACACAAAAGTTCCTGAAAGCCCATCTTTTGCTCTGCTGATCAGCAAGAGGCCCCAACCTATGAAATCTGAGGGAAAACTTCTGGTAAACCCTACAATGATAATGTGCAAAAGACTAGCTCGTATCCCATCTCTTAAGTGCTTTATAGAGCTTGGTTTTAGTTTTGAAGAAATGATTTACTGTATTTATTCTGCAAAGGGAAACAGTCTGTTTTTTCCTTACTGCTGAGGTGGTACATGGGGCTGAGCAGAGCAGAGCTCATCCCCAGGCAGCATTTTCCCAATCCGGGAACACAAGTTGTACTGGGATGAGGGAGTGAAAATACAGACCTTCCTAGAGGGTGAAGAATTCAGGGACTTCTGAGAGTCCTTGGCTGGAGTCTGGAAGCCCCAAAACACGGCCAGACCTCAGCTGCCCCAGCCTGCTCCCCAGGCAGCTTGAGTTGGGGTCCAGCAGCTGTTCTCACTGACAGAGGGTAAGTGGATGGGGGGGGGTGCAGAGTGGCCTGAGTTTTGAGCTGCTGCTGTGGCCCACCCCACAGGGACCTGGACTGTCACTCTGTGTGAGCCCAGCCAGGGGCCACCACCTAGGCACATGTTTTATGAAGAATCATCCAAGAAAGAAAACCCAAATGACCTTGAAGTGGAGGAGGAGCTGGGAGCAGAAGCCAAGTGTCTCTCTGTAGTGAGAGCTGCTCCTGCCCATCCTGGGAGGATGGGGAAGATATGTAATGGGGAAAGGAACGAATAAGCTGTTCCCAGCTGGGGGAGGATGCATGCAGAAGGAGCAGAGGCTGGGAACAAAATCACCTCTGACAGAAACCGCTATGAAGTCTGATGGATTATGAGGATCAAAGAAGGACACTGATTTAAGGAAGATGAATTCCTCACTGCTTTATGGGGAATGGGGATCATTTTGCATTGACACTCTGTGGAGCGAGGCTGCCTGTCATCTGATAAGGGCTTGTGCAAAGGTCTTGAGAAAAGAGTGGCTATAAATGATCATCTCTGAAAAAATGTTTTAAATAGATGCAGCTGATGGACTCATATAGCTCCACGTGGACAGCCAGAGAGCTTAAATGCAGCATTCCAGTAGTAGTAGAGAAAATGGTTGAAAATATCCCTCTTCAGAAACTCTTTGTTGGCAAAGG